AGTTGTAACTGTGTGAGTGCGCGCGCTTGGCAACCAGGCAGCAAACATAAAAAAATGTGGCACACTTAAATGCTGCGTCAACGTCGCAGTCGCCGCGCGAAAAATTCCCCTGTTCTTTGTATGTTACACCCCTACACACATACGCATACGACACTTTGTACATAATATGACGGCGAAAGCTACAAAAAGCGCGTCGAATTTGAATTTGCTTAGAAGTGCGCGCGCGCTCTTGCTAAAGAGAGCGAACGAGAAGTTTCGTTAAAAAGCTGCGACTGCGACAGCTCCAACACATACAAATACACACGCTGTCACGTGTTCGTATTTGGGCTCTGTGTGTATCTGTATTTGTTGTATATACATTGAGTGTGTGCATATGTGCGAGCATGTAGTTTTGTGTAGCTCAGCAAAGCTTTCGATCTCTCTCTCTCTGCCAGCGTCTGCGACTGAGGCTGAGTCAGCGCCATTAGTTTGAACACATTTTCTGTATGCTGAAGTCATTTTTTTCTAGCGTCATCTTTTTTTTTTCTCATCTGGCAGCGTTTTGGCGCATAATTTTATGTTGTTGTTGTTGCTTGTTTCTAATGCAGCAAGTAGCTGACAGATACAAATGCAGGAAAATGCTGTGGCCCTTAACAAAAAACATTTGGTGGTCGGCTCCCACGAAAAGCCACACAAAAGCCACACAACTGGATTTCGTTTTATCTGACACGCTCTCTACCAGCAGCTGTATAAGTGTGTGAGTATGTATCTCCATCTCCCTCTCTCGCCACACTTTCGCGCTCTACACACTTGGCGCTGACTGCTGACCCAGTTTCCTAGTGGGTTCTCAGCTTCGGGCTTTGCTTTGGCTTTCACAACTTTCTTGCCAGCAACACCCACCTTTGGCCCTATACTTTTGTCTCTCTCGCTCTCTCTTTCTGTTTCTATTGCCCAATTGGAGTCCAAGTGAAGTTGTATGTATGTCCCTAACCCAACTTCTCTAATGCTGCAAAAACGGAAATAACCAAGAAAAAACATCTTCCTAGCAGTTCGAAATCGAAAATAAATTGTTTGCTTCAAATGTGAAAAGGGGTCCTTTTTGAAAGGGCTTACATACAGTTACAGTTGCTGGAGTATCTCTTCCTATAAATACGTATACACACATACATATGTACATAAAAGAGATTTCATTAATTCAATATTGCTTAGCTCACAATATTTAAGAGCAACGTGTATCGTTTTATTTATAATTTTCTGAAACTAATCTAATATACAAAGGTTTTATATAGATATACATATATAAAATCCCTTGCAAATCTTAATTAGCTGGATTTACGATGTGACTCACAAAACCCAATGTCCTAACAGAGAAGACCACAAACACATACGAACATATGCGTAAATAACACAAATATGGTTTGCATTATTTTTTAATCGCGTATCGTTTGCTTATCCTGCACTCACGATATTCGCAGTTAGCAGACTTATGCAATGTACACTGCAAATATATCGTAAAATGACGCTTGCTTTAACCAATTCAAAAGATATTGAGTGAATAGCACCATATAACAAATACCGCAAAGTAAAGTGAAGAGCAAAGGAAAATAGCGTTTGCAACTTGCTCTCTTATTGAGTATAAAAAGATATCGATAGGCAGGAACTTTCTGGCACTTGTCGATAGTAAAAAACGGGCATGTGATTTGTCATATATTATAATTCGCATTTACATAACAGCTAGATAATCGTTTTGAATCATATATAGCGAATGTTCCACAGTTTGCGCCAATACATAAAAGAGCAAACAGCGATTGAGGGTGACAATGCCAAAGATATGAATCCTGCTGCTCTGAAAACTTAACTGCAAAGCCAACCAAGAGCTCTGCAAAACAAGACGAATTACGATATTGTCTTATTCAATCCGAATCATACTTACGATACGTTCAAAGAGTTCCACTTGAGGTTCCGCACGCTGCAGGATGCGCAGGATATTCAATCTAAGCTCCTCTATGAAACCAGCCAAGAAATTCAATAGATAAAATTCCATCAAGGCATGCAAAGTGACAACGGAAATGACGAGAGCGGCTTTTAAATTTAAATATGAATTCTGTTTGCCAAATTGGATTCTTATCAGAAAATAAACACTTTGTATGGCCGTCAGGGCAAGTCGTAACAAATACCAAAGTAAAATATGACGAAATGTAGAGCAGAAGTTGTATACGATATTGATAAGCTGTTGTTGTTGGCTTTGCAGTTGAAGCAGTTGTTTGGGTTGCTTTGGCTGCTGTGTAAGCAGTTGTTCTAATTGGAGCTGCACTGCCAATTGGCAATTGGTTAGCTGCCACAGCAAAGTGAAGATCAGCAGGGAAGCGGCGCAAATCATATTGGCAGTGCAAAACTTCCAAAAGCTGCCTAATACTTGGAAGGCGCTGGCCTCATTGCAACTTGAAACGAGATAATATAGCTGCATTACCAATTGGAGCAGCATGAGCAACAACTTAATGAGAAGCAGCAGTTTTAAATTAGCCGCTGCTGGTCTCCTGTTAAAACGGTTCAACTCTCTCAACTTCTCATACATCCGCAATATAGATTCCTGTAACACCTGAGCACAATGAATGCAAGCTACGAATAAAGCCACATTGAAGCTGCCAAAGAAAATGTTAGCCAACTTAATCTGATTGGTGTTCAAAGTTGTGCGCATAACAGAACTATCCATTAGAAGATCACGTAATAGCACAGGTATTCCTGCCACTATCAAGCCATTGTGACATATGCAATAAATTCTTAAATATTTCGTTCGCTGAAGCTTTCCCGTTTTCAGTTCCGGATAAAAATGGCTTAAGCCATTTAAAGCCAAGAAGTAAACGATACACAACTGTGGCCAAGACATGACTAGCTAATAGAGCTTGCACGTACTACGAATATTCAGCTATTAATCAACTTAATGGCTTTTAATTGGGGTGATGTTTATCCATCAAACTGATAAACATCTAAATATATATTTTAGCTTAAGGGAATACGCTGCGTATACGCAATTTAGTTTCAAAATACTAAAATTAAGCCCGTATATTTATTTATTTATATATATTTATCATTAATGTATATCATAAGTCTGAAAAAATTTCTAATTTAAAAGCCTGATAGATAGCTTACGTTATACATTAGTATACGATCTTTGTCATATGCAAAGCATATGAGGACTAAGATATAGCTAATATCGTTTCATTAGCTTCGAACTAAACCTCTACTTATACCTATATGTAAATGCAGTCAATATCGTATATAGCGTGTCATCTCATATCGTTTGTTTACATTGTACTGCTTTCGTAGTGTTCATTTGCCAAAAACAAAAATGACGCTTACTCAAAATGGCAGCTAACTCCCTATCGAGCTTAAAGCGATATCGATTGTCAATACTAAAATGAAAGGAAAACAAAAAGTCAGCAAATTGTGCCAAAGACAAATTGTGTCTAGTTTATAATTGCAAAAAGTTATATATAATAATTAAATTATAATAAGGCTAAAGGATCGTGCTGAGTGGCGCCAGCAAAGCGCTGGGCAACAGCTGCCACTTTTGCCGGTTGAGCGCGACAAGTTGCGTGTTTTAATTAAATTGTCAACGTTCGTTCACGTATGAGTATGTGTGTGCACATGTATGCCTGTGCGGGCTAGAGTGTGTGTGTGCGTGTGAAACATATTTGTGTGCTGTGAAGCATGACAAACCCCGCTGGGTGACAATGACCAAATTGTTGCTGTTGCTGTTGTTGGCATTTCTGCTGGTAAGTAGAAGTTCATTGGAATGTCCGCTAGACCGCACAGAGACAGGTGTGCGAGATTTTGCACAGTTCTACCAAAGGGGGCGGGGCAGCAGCAGGGGGCTGCTGGGATAGTGTGGTTAGTCGTTGCGGCTGCCATCGGCTTTGGCCCAGTGATCAAATTGCATGCAGCAGCAGCATCTGTTGCCCACAGATGGGGCGGGACTTTAGTAATTCCCCATGGCAAGCACGCGTAACTGGAGCATTGTAAATATATCATCATGGCATAAGTTATTTACTTTAATAAACTCAATTTGAAATTTGCTTCAATTTGGCTCGAATTAAATTTTCATAGGGATGGTAGCCAATACATAATCTAAGAAGTCGATTAATCGATAAGCCAATTAGGTAAATAATATCAAACTAATTAATCGCTCAAGCGATGAATATTTAATTTTATTATTGATCGTGTCTTTGCTATTGAAGGACGGCTGAAATCTTTATTAAATCAACTCAAACTAAAGTAACAAAAGTTTAGCAAACTTTTAAGCTACTAATTCAGTTCACGACTTTTACTGTTATCAATCACATCTATTTGGTTTGATTGATTGAAGCTGTTTGTTAATTGAATTGCAGCTGCAACAGCAACTGCAACTGCACCTGCACCTGCAGCTCACTTGTGAATCAAACTCTGTGTGCCTCTGTTATGAGCGAGAATTGACAGGAAATTGTGCTGCTGTCGCAACCAATTGGCATTCAATTAAAAGCAATTCCATTTACGAAAACCTGGTTAACAGATGAAACTGTTTAATGGCTGGAGTTAAGGCGACAACTGTATACTCTATAAATTTGGACAGTGTTTTTCTGGGACACCTATTTGATATTGGTACTGGGTTTTATCATGAAAATTTATGAAAGTGATAAAGAGTTATTTTATGAATTTTTATCAACAAAATGAACTAGTTCATGGTTCATTAAATTGTAAAAGGGTATGGCAAGCTATGCTTTATCTATGTAAAGTATTCTTAGCTTTACGATATAATTTACCATTGCTAATTGTAGCCTTACGATATAACTAACTTTAGATATACGATATAGATTACTACTGCTAAAATGAACGATAAAGATTGATACCATTTATGATTTATGAATTTCGATATATAGGAAAATTCTTAATATATCTTTAAATATCTTTAAATATTATATAATAAATCACATCTTTATATATGCATAAAGTCCAATATAGAGTACAAAGACAAAGACTTGTGCGTGTTTCCATGTGTTTTATGTGAGTTGCAACATTTCTCTGCTACATAATGACCATCGAAATAGAATAAGTCTAAATTAGAGTATTCCAGAAACTGCCATGAGCAGTACATTTAGCTATTGCGCTAACATTTTAATTGCTTTTGGCAACTTGAATTGACAAAATAACGAAAAAATAAACAGAGAACACCAAACACATTTGGATAGCGAGAGATAGGGAGAGGAGTACCTAAGGCTGAACATTGGCAAAGGGTCCGATGGAAGCAGCTCTGGCCATCATGGCTGGAATGTTGGTCTGTTCGTAATTGCCGCTGAAATACTGGGCAAATGGACCCGAAGCAAAAACGGCAACATCATCCCCACCATGTGTATCGGCATCGAGGGGCACCATGGCTGGACTCACATACAGCGGATGCTCCGTGTGCTGTTGGCTAATAGGCTTGCGGCCATCAGCCTTAGTGTAGGTGCCCGCATAGCCAGGTCCATTGGCATAGGAGAGTATATTATAGGGTCTGCCATCATCGGCTAACTTATTAGCCAAGCCTGTTATTTCCTGTTCACGTAGCTATGGAAGACAGAAAGCAATGGATCAAGGAATTAGATTTCTATAGCAGACGGATAAGCTGTGTGGCTTACCGGATAACCATTGACGGTCATTACATGCGAATGATCGGATGTCACGACAATTAGGGTATCATCCACGTCGGTCATTTCTCGTGCCTTCTGTATAGCTCGAGCGAATTCGGCGGTGTCCTCCAACGAGCGACGCGCATAGTTCGAATGATGAGCCATGTCAATGCGAGCGCCTTCCACAAATAGGAAATATCCTTTCTCATTTCGCTGAAGCACCTTCAAAGCTGCCTCCGTTAGCTCGGTTAGCGATGGATCAGCTAGATGGCTATTCTTGGGGTTGCGCTCACGATCACCATCATAGGGCAAGTGTCCCTTGGCAAAAAGACCCAGCAAATAGTCCGTATTATCCAGGTCCAATTGGGTTAGACCTTTTCGGCTCCATACATAGCTCGCCGACGCTTTCTGTGCCTGCTTATCCGCCAGCCAGTCCTTGATCAAATTGCGTCCATCCTGGCGATAGCCTGGATGACCCACCTCATCACGCATGGTCTCATTCAGGAAGTTCTGTCGACCACCTCCGAGAATCACCTTCAATTTCTTGCCCACTTCCCATTCAACCAGCTGACGAGCTATATCTATGCTCTCCTCTGGATCGCAGCCCTTCTCCCTAACCTCTGCATCGTTTTCCCAATTGCGATCAGAGATGTGCGCATAGACGCCAGCTGGTGACGCATGGGTAACTCTGGCACTTGTCACGAAGCCAGCGTCCTTGCCCGCATCCTGTGCCCACTTGGCAATACTGTCCACCTGATTCTGCGCCACATAGGCGCCTTTGCAATCGTAACGTGGCACATTCGCGTTCACACCAATCGTACCATAGTTGGCCTTCACACCACCCAGATAAGCAGTTGCGGTGCAGGCGGAGTCAGCGACCTGGCGATTCACACAGTATGTCTTCGATAGGCCCGTATAGGGAAACTGCTCAAAGTAGACCTTCTCGGAGCTGTCGCCGAGCAGATTCCTGGTCGCTGTTATCGTATGAATCGACATGCCATCGCCCAGGAACATGATCACATTCTTTGCACCTTGCTTCTTCAATTGACTCAACGCATCCAGCTTATCGGCCAAGGTCTTCTGAGCATCCTCGCGCCAATAGTGGCTCTGCATTTCCTTTTCATATTTAACGGCTGGCGCGGGCCGCGACAAGCTTCGTCCATGCTGACGGTCTGCAAATTTACAATTGAGCTTTAACTAATCTAGTAATACTCGGCTGCTTATCGCAAGTGCTTGGACTGGGTGTTTAGTATATGCTTAAATTGTTTTGTATTTCATGGAATTCCAGACTTGCTTAACTTAACTCGTATATATGGATTTCTAGCTATCAGCGAAATACGATCTATAATCAAAGTATTTGATTGATAAAAGCTTGTGAACGGCATATATATGGCATTATAAAGTGAACATTGAGCTGCAAGTGCCACTAGTCAACATTTATAATATGCAGCTTAAGTTATCTTCAGGCTAAAACTTTGGCTTACATTGATTTGGCTTTTAAATTTGCGCTGTTTGCTTGGTTACAGCTTTATTCATGTGTCTATATATGCTTAGTTCAAACCCTTAACAATTCTTTGTACCCTGAACATATTGGGGAGCAAGAGCTTTGATAGAAGAAGGCGTGACAAGCCCCACAAAGTGTTTAAGTACCTGATCAGAAGACAAACTGAGTCGACTTAGCCTTGTCTGTGCGTCCCTTCATCCGTCTGTCCCTTTGTATAAACACATTGAGATCTTAGAACCTTTACGCTTTACTCTGTAGCTCTACAGACTTATTTTTATAGCTCCTTCGACAACACATGTCGATCAAGTTAGCTTCAAATAGTCGATAACTTTTCTCTTTTCCATTAAATCTTAATAAATATTATACAGAACTTGAGTTATATTTATATATATATATATATATATATATTTTTTTATATATTTTTTTTATATATATCTTGTCTTAAAATATATTTATAATGAAAATTTCAAATTTCATTTGAGCTCTAAATCCATTGCATTTTCTGCTCTCTCTTTTTCTTTTTCTCTATCTCTATTCTATATTATATTATAGATTATATCTATATTATATTATTATTAATAAAATTGAAAGTCGATGCAAATTTCCTTAAATTTTCATATTCGAATCCCTAGAAGATTAATAGATTTTCTTTACTATTCACTTTATGCTATGAATAACTGACAGCTGCTGCTCTCTAGCTCTTTCTTTTAACATGCATATGTTTTATTATCTCTCTATATATATAATACCAATATTCTATATATGCTATATCTATGGCTTGTGGTTTTAATCAAAACGTTTCCCCCTTTTCCCATTCAGAATTTGCTACTCTTCATCTCTATGCTCCTCTTGTAAACTAGTTAAATCAACATTATATAATTGCAATTCATTACCATCGATACATCAACTTTTCTCTCTACATTTATAAACTCTATCCACTGTTATTGTAGCACGCTTCACATACCTTTCTCCGCTTTGGCTACAGCCAGCAAAAGAAAGCTGACCAGCAGCAGACGAAATAAACCGTAAAACTGGCCCATAGCTGACTTCTTGTCTATATAGTTATATATATAGAGTGAATTCGCCTTCGATTCGCACAGATCAGCTCGCGTAGCTGCACTGAAGGAGTTCGTTTGAACTGGGTCTGGCTGGCCAGTCTGCTGCCTTTTTCTTTTCGCTAATCTATAACACGTAAATCTAATCAGCAAAATTTTGTGTAATCAGAAATGTTCAAAATCAAATTCAATTTATGGTCAAAGAATTATCTTAACTTAAAGCCGATGCACGTGTTCAACGAGCTGAGACACGCACTCACTCACTCGCTCGCTCTCTCTCCCTCACTCTCTTAGATCACTGCAGCATTCGGTTGCCATTGGTTACCTGCTGTAAGGCACGTTACGTATACGCTCCGTATGGCTATTGAACAAAGTGACGTCCCCTTGATTTTGTTGTTATATGAGCAGCCTTTGACTTTTTGCTTTTAATCAAGCAGCTCACATGGAGTGCTCTGCTTTGTCCTCGTTAGTGACGCCTTTTGACGTCAGATGCAGTGGCAGCTGCTGCTGTTGTTGTTGTTGTTGTTGTTGTCGTCGTCGAACAACCATATGCAAATTTTCCTTGATATGAACTGGACAAATGCAAATTACGTACTCGCCCACCTGCTGGTACTTTAATGAAACCAGGCTGCCCACTCTGACTAGAAATATCTATCCTCCAGAGCTTCAGCTTGAGTTGTATTACAAGTTGCTGGTGATATCATGGAGCGTTAGATGATATCAGTGAGAAATGATAAATTCCTTGGTAAGAATAGTATATCTTATAAATAAGTCAAACCTGAACATTTTCCAACTTTCATAATCCAGTCTTTAACAAGAATCTATTTTTATTTGTATCCATAATTTGGATAAGATTCTTAAAGCTTTTAAGCAAAAGTAAAGAGAGCTAAGTTAGATGAAAAGACTTTATATAAATATTTATTTATATTTAGCGTATATAAATATTTATTGCCATCAAAACGTTATATGAAATATATATTTGTAGTAAACGAGGTCTGTTCAAAAAGTATCTCGAGTATCTTTTTTGTGCTGCTCTTCAGCTGCTTCTTCGATATCGTCTTTATCTAACTTTATCGTGGCAAAGAGTCTGGTTTTCAGGGCATACGAAGATGCACAGAATTCTTTAAGCTTTTTAAACAGATTTCGTATATATTTTAGGTTTATTTCAAAAATGTAAAAAGCAAGCCTCGCGCTTAGTCTAGTCAAGCACTAGCAGCAAGGGAGAGAGTGCTGCATACTTTCAGGGCATTGAAGTGCGCTTATGTATAGATATAGATACATATATATATATATATATATATATATATATAGATATATATATATACTTCTATGTATGACCACGCCCCTTGGCAATTTTGTTTTGTAACACGAAAAACTTGTATTGCTTTGTGTCCACTAAAGTATTGTCTTGGCCAACGCCACAATGGAGCCCGTAAACTTGATGACCTGCAACAGAGGAAGCAAAGCGAGACAAACAAAGCAGTGAGTCCTTCTGGCTATAAATTCTATAAAGCTCACACACACACAATTACGCACCGATGTAAAGACGGGCAGAGATGGTGCAAAGAAGGGCACTTGGACTGTGATAGGTCGCTGGGCACGCATGATAAGCAGATAGATACGCTGTCGCACATCACGATTCCACAGATACCAATGGCTATTGTAGGCAGCCTCGCCTAGCTCCAGACTCTAAGGGACACATACATAAGTATTTTATATAGACTCTATGAAAGACTCACAGCCAAAGACATTTCAGTGCCTCCATAGCAGTAGAGAAATAAACAGGCGCTAACTGTGCTAGCATAGACCACATAGCGTATGATGTTGTAGCCGGAAAACTGCAAAGACAAAGACAAAAAATTATAACAGAAAGCAGAAAAATTTGGAAGTCAAAGTTAATTTAGCTTGAATCGAACTTACTCCTCAGTTCATAATACAAGAAGACAGGGTTAATAGCTGTGATAAAGCATGCTTATAAGCTGAAACTTAGTTCTCGTAACTCCAATCTGAATCTGAAATTCTGAATCTCAGAAATAATTATAGTCAATCTGAAAAGATTGAGCAATTTCTAAGAAAAGCACAGCCTTATCACACCTTGCCCTAGACTTCATGCAGTATAAATCTCTTACGGCCAGTAAATATTATCAAATACTCACCAATAGTATATCGATAACACTCGTAGCTATCACCAAGCTGGAGGACAGAAATTGTGCAAAAGTTGGCGCTGCCATTATCACAGAGAAACGTTGAACAATGCCAACGATGTCATTGTGACGATCAATGATAATTCGCAGTTGTTGGCAACAAACTTCGCACTCCCGCGCAGTGGGATCTAAACGTGGCAAAGAACAAGATTGAGTTGAAGGGACTCTAAAAGAAACTCACTGTGAACAGGACGGACAACACGCTGCACATCCATTTGTAGGGCTTTCAGAAGGAATGTCACGTAGAGCGTGAAGCTAAAGAAGAAGCCATCGGTGGCTACAAAGGCATAGACCGTTACCTGGCCGCTCCAGGTGGAATAGAGATAGGCGAGAGGATAAAGGGGCATGCGATGAGCTATGGATGGAAAGCTGAAAGGAGTAGAGAGAGATAGTGATAGAGATAGAGATAGAGATAGAGATAGAGATAGAGATAGAGATAGAGATAGAGATAGAGATAGAGATAGAGATAGAGATAGAGATAGAGATAGAGATAGAGATAGAGATAGAGATAGAGATAGAGATAGAGATAGAGATAGAGATAGAGATAGAGATAGAGATAGAGATAGAGATAGAGATAGAGATAGAGATAGAGATAGAGATAGATAGAGATAGAGATAGAATAGAGATAGAGATAGAGATAGAGATAGAGATAGAGATAGAGATAGAGATAGAGATAGAGATAGAGATAGAGATAGAGATAGAGATAGAGATAGATACAGATACAGATACAGATACAGATACAGATACAGATACATTTTTCAGATTCAGATTCAGATTCAAATACAGATACAGATACAAATACAGATACAGATACAGATACAAATACAGATACAGATACAGATACAGATACAAATACAGATACAGATACAGATACAAATACAGATACAGATACAGATACAAATACAAATACAGATACAGATACAGATACAGATACAGATACATTTTCAGATTCAGATTCAGTTTCAGATACATATACAGATATCTTTGAGATACTTTGAGATACTTTGTCACCTACAGCATGCGAAAGGGCATATCGTATTTGAAGGGCAGCTGTCGATGCATCCACATCTCCCAGAATGATCTCAGCACAAATGCCGCCGTATTGATGGAGCCCAGCGTAAAGATAAGCATGCACAGCAAGGTAGCCAACCGATAATACCCACTCTTCAGCTCGTTTCTGTTGCCTTCCGTCTGTTGCTCCGTCAGGTGTCGTATGCGCTGAATGAGCGCTGCCACCTCCACACGACTCGACCACATGCAGGCCATTTTGAAGAGCGTGGTCAGACTGCAGGCGAGTGGACAAAAGGCATCCATGGCATCCACTGGACTGGTGTGTATGTAGCTCCAGCCAAAGCTGAACTCCGCCTGGCAGCAATGCAGCAAATTCACGAAATTAAAGATGAGCCAACATGTGGACCAGAGGCTGGGCAAACGCTCAAAGCGCAAGCCCAATAAGCCAAACGAATATCTGGTCACAAAGAACAAATGCTTCTCCAGCGGATAATCTTTGCTCAAATACTTTGGATACATTGCGCTCAACTAATTGCTTGCACCCATAGGATTTCCATACTTATATAGCTGATATTTGTTGCCATTATAATTATGGGCTATTGTCGTAGAGCTAATAATATGTTTGCCTAACTAATTAGGCGTCTGTTTTGATGCCTGTTTCCACATATTAAATGACTTAATTAGAGGTTACCCAAAAGGATTGAACACTTGCTCACCTAATGGAACACTTGCTTACCACGAAGGTGTTTACCATATTCATATTTACTATAATAACGCGTAATAACTACAGGCATAGTCGAAATATGTTTAAACTCTAAGGTAAGCAAAAGAAGAAACTGATTTATTTAGGCCTACGTTGTATAAACTTCTATAACATGCTTTTATATAACGGCTTCACGGCTTGATTGCATTCATGAGAATTGCAGAGAGAGGCGATCAACATTTATTTATGAAGCAAGCACAAAAAACGTTTACTTGATCTGCCATACATGTGCAGCATTTATGAGAATTGCAAAGAGAGGCGTGACTCCAAACCCATTTTATCTTTTAACATGAAAGATCAAGGGAAGTTTGCCAGAGATAGATTTGGTTTAAGAGCGCACACAAGTCTGCTTAGCTACAAATAGCTTAGCTAACAAATATATATTTATAAATACATAAATATCTCCATAACGCATATTCCTAACTTGCAGATTCAATTGAAATGTAGCTAAAATATTATTTTGCAACAGTATTCACAGAATTTTACTACTTGAAATTTGAATTTCCTTTTGCAAACGCATTTTTTCCCACAATGTTAATCGAGCCGCATGAATCTGCAGTTTCTTGAACTCTACTGAAAATCGAGCCAAGAGAAACAAACCTCAAAAGTTACCAAATATACATATAGATGAGAAGAAGAGGAAGAGTTTTGTACTTCAGGCAATTGGAATTTTAAATGTAGCCACACGAGCAAACATTTCATGATTTATACATGTATATATACTCTCTCCATATATATAGAGGGAGATAGGTTCATTTCTCTTTTATATGTGGGTCACTATGCTTTTGTTGCCCTTTTCAATATGCTTTGCGTACGAACGATTTTGCATACTTACGTCTCTGATTTATGTAGATTACTGCGCATATCAATTGATTGGAGCAATTTATGCATGCATCTCCGACAAGCCGAAATGAATTTGAAATTGGAGCATAGGGTTTATTTATAGAAACGTTAATGGAGTAGGGAATATTATTCTCGATGAGCTATGCTGCCTTATACGAATGATTCCATACCTTACTATTTTGTGGATATATTTAATAGCAGTAGTATTTTTATTGTTATACTGATGAATCTCATTATGAGCTTACCATCTTAGCCGAGGGCAGTTTATCATCGTAGTTAGTTGTATATTCCGGGAATATGATGTCGTAGACTACGTGAATAGCTAAAGTATTCTATATTATTCCAAGCACATTTTATTATTCAAAATATAGTATCTTATCCGGAAAACAGTATTCTATCCGGGGAATAATATACTAGAGTATACTTTCTTATCCTATTATTAGATTTTATAAGTTTTTTTATATTTTGTTATCCTGATACCTTTTTATTACTGTACACGATGCACTAAGTATAGTCATGTGTTCTTAAGCTCTGCTTATACTAAATGTTTCTGAAAACTCCTTCAAAATTGCTCATTATACTTTTATCCGAAATATGTTATTTTATTCCACGGTATCCTAAGTGCCTAAGAAATCTACGCTTTGCTAAGAATACCCAATAGACTCTTTCGCAACTTGTTTTTTTTTGTCTTAAACTCCTTTACTAAAGTCACCTGGGACTTTTTAGACAATTGACTTTACAACGAATTTTTTTAGAATTGAGTATTTTGACAGATGCTGTTAATGCTCAACGTCAACGTCAACGTCATCGTCAAGCTGCTGCAGCAACTGCCACGCTGCATACATTTTTAATTAATGCCCCCAGCTGCCCCGTGCTGTGTCACGCTGCGTATACGCAATCAAAAACGTTAGCTTATTGATTTTGAGCTTTTATTGCAAGTGCAAAATATGTGACTTCATTGCTGTGGCAGCCAGCTGCGTGGGTCGTGGGCGAGCTATTGATTTTGCATAAGGACACGATATCAGGCGCACATCCTTGATGGCCAATATGCAGGCGAGCTGCTTCCTTTTCGCTGATATCATCGCCTGGAAATACGCTTTGTGCTGTAGCTACCCCCAAAATAAACAGGCGAGGCCAGCGCAACCACTCAACCACCAAGCCACAAAGCCACCCAGTCGCCACTCTGTTTGACTTTTATGACAACAAACAAATAAACGAACTAACTCACGCACACCCACACACCAGAGCCCACGCACACACGCAACTCGATGCCAACCCTGGAGCGTTGAAAATGTTTTTGAATGCTTTCACATGGTTTTTCGTTTCATACCCAATATCCCTTGAAAGTTGCCACGAGTGGGGCATATTGAGCTTACACAAAGAGCGAAGAAGCATACGTACATGCCTAAGCTTAGGCATTTAAATACTTTTAAATGTCATTTCAGTAATTTCAAAAAGGATTCCTTAAGAAGCAAGTGCTTAGTCGTATACTTGGAACACTTAAACGTGCTAATTTTAAGAAATTATAGATTTCATATAGAGTAACTACTAGTTGTGCATCTTAAGCAATTCATTCTTTTCTAAGGTAAACAAAAACTTGATCTATTTGCCTGCAGGGCAAGTTTTCAACACTGTAAACTTATTGACTTCATAGAATGAAGCAACGTGTAGAAGTTTTGTCTGCAGGGTATCTGCCTAACCTTTAACTAGAAAAAAGTTTCTTCACTTTTGTTGCTGAGCAAAAGTAAAAGCTGTGCCTTTGCCTTTACAGGGTACTTACCAGTCGCTTGTTTTTGGTTGCCTACAGGGTATCAGCTGTTCGTGCGCTTCTCTAGGGAGCTCTGCTTTTTAGACTTTCATTTAAGTACAGGGTATCTGCTAGTTATGCACTCTTAGATAGCTTACCTCTTAAACAGCTTAGGCCTTTGTCTTACAGGATATCTAGCTAGTCGAGCACTCGCAGTTAGGGCAGTTTAAGTTTCGCTCTTCTTCTTGCAACTGTTGGCGTCGGCGGCCATGCCTGACACACCCTGCTGCAGCAACCACCCCCGCAGCTGGAAGCAGGGCCTGGAAATGATTGTGTTGTGTAATGTGCTCCTGCCTCTGCCCCTGCCCCTGCCTCTGGCTCTGTCTCCGCCACTGCTGCTGTTTCGTCTGCTGCTGATGATCCTGCAGCTGGCGCCTCGCGCAAAAAACAAGCAGGAAAAGCAGGCCAACGTGTCATGTGGAAAACAGCAGGCCAGGCCAGGCCAAGCCAGGCCAGGCAAGGCATGAAACCAGTTTTCCGACTTCATTTTCTATATTTCTGACGCAGAGACATTCGTACTTGTGCCCCCAATTTCGAGTGGGCCGCGGAAAATGCGAAACGTGAAGCGTGTGAGCCGAAACGTGAAAAGCGTAACCAGCTTTTACCCTACCGACCGGGTTGGGCGCTTGAGGCTTTCGGATAAAACAGGTTGATTTTCCTGTTTCGCGACTCTCGCTCAGCGCCAACGTTGTTGGCCATTAGCCAAATGGGATTTCACACGCTTCCTTTGGCGCTGCTGCTGCTGCTGCTGCTGACGACGTTGCCTGATGCCAGTTGAGCACGCCACTGTCCTGAGCCCTGACCCCTGCTCTGCCTCTGGGCAATAGACCTGCTTCCTCCTTCGTCTCTTTATAGCTGCGCTTGATCAATTATTAAAACTCACTCAGTTTTGCAGCGCTTTATTTTTGGTTTTCGGTTGGTGCCATAAATCCGCTTGCGATGCGCAACAGAACCTTTTACACCACCTCTCTTCATATGCTTAACCTCTGCCCTTTGCCTTACACCTCTTCCCTAACATGTCCCTCTGCCTTAGCCTCAGCTCTGGCCTGGTCCTCGACTCTAACTATCTCCCTCTCTCTCTCCCTCTCTGCATATTTCCATTTCACTCTGCCCCTTCCGGTTCATGTCTGCATTTTATCTTTATCGTCAGTTGCCACATCATTTCTGGTGACATTTCACACTGGCCTGACCCACATATATCCATGGAGGGGTCGCAGGGGAAGTCGAGGGCAACGAGTTCTTCAAACTAATGCTGACAAGCCTCATGCTAATGTCCATTGCGATAAGCGACAATACCAACAGCAACAGAGCGAACAAGTACGTGCCACATTCGATAAATTGCTCTATGTAGAAATTCTCGTTCAATTTTCAATATGTCACGTTATCTTTGGCTTATGTAAAATGGGGACTAAACACAAAAAAAGAACATTGAAGCATATGCATTAATGCCTGATAATAAGCTTGTAAAGCTATATATAAGTTTATCAAGAGTCAAATTGAATTTATGAGTGCTATTTATAGGCTAGAAATTACTAGGTATTTGGATATTTACAGTTAATTTAGTGGAAAACCAACAAGGGTGTTCCTTATAAATACAGTCAGTAAAATTGAGTGCTATAGAGTATCAAGGGCAGTCCCTTGCATGAGTAAGATTATGCTAAAGGCAAACAAAAGTTAGAAATGAAGGCAATATTATATCATGAGGGTATTCCCTTATAGAAGCATATGTATTTACTGCTACAACTATTTACTTATAAAAGTACTGCATGGGCATTTCCTTTTAAAAGCAAGGTAGACAGAATATTAAAAGTATTTATTGATAAAATATAATAACTAACAGAAGGTTAAGCCACTAAATAAACAACGCCATCAAAGCTGAGCGCTTTTAGACATATTTTTGAATATTTAATATGGGTATTCCTAGCTGAAGCTTGAGCAGAAATAGAGCTTTGAAAATATATAAAGAATATGGACTAACTTGACGTTAACTTGCTTTGGACTACTTATTGAAGATATGCGCTTGAGATTCTTCTATGAGCATAGAGCAGATGACTAAAAGGGAAAATGAAGAATCTCAACAATCTTCAATAAGGATATTCCCTTGCACAGAAATGTAAGCAGAAACATAATTAGTTGTAGCTAAATAAATATGTCTATATATATATATATATATATATATATATATATATATATATATATATAATATATGTCAATATAAAGCAGCTATGATAATGATCAATTCATATGTCAAGGTTGTAGCCAGACAAAAATATAAATGTTGTGGGTATTCCGCTCTATGAGAATATATGAATCTAGACTCAACTTTAAAGAACGTCAGCTATGAGCCCAGAGTTAAAGGCAAGACTTGCACAGCTCTTGGAGCAGCATATTAACGTTCTATGTTAATGCTTATATATATATATATATATAATTGAATTGCCTTCTCCAGCCTCGATGACGTCCTTGTTAGCATTTTACAGCGAGCAATTAAATTGGAAAAAAAATTGAGTTGAGCTGAGTTGAGCGCAATTTTAATTTGCAATGCGGCGTTAATTATAATTAAAACTATTGAGCTAAACAAATATGTGCATGTATAAATAGCGAACAGGGCCAAAGACGCGCTAGAGCTGTACAGATATATATATATATATATATATATATATATATATATATATATATATATATATATATATGTGCATGGATAGTACAGAGATCAAGCATGACACAATACAATTTTTGTTTGACTGTGCGGCACTTTGTGCTTCTCTCCCACTCTCTCTCTCTCTCCCCCTCCACGTAATGTGTCATAAGCTAAATTGTTTTAAATTTTTGTTGAATCGCTTTACAAACGACTGCATAGCATTGAGCTGGCGCATTACTGTTGGAGTCTAGTTTCCATGCTCTCATAGAGCGTGCTATGAATATGACAGCAGATGTGTTTAGCTATATAAATATATATCCAATGAGCATTTACCTATCTAGTTGTCTTCTCTCTTTCTTTAAAAACTCTAGTAGAGCATTCAAACTTCGACCAGAACAAGTCTTATGAAATGCTGTTGCTGTGGCTTCTAATTGAAGTGGCTGCGTTTTGAGCAGCTGTCATGTGGTTGTGGCTTTGTCTGTGACAGATCTTACACTGAAATCGAATAGCCAATATATATATACAAGCATACAGTACACTAACTGCTGCTGCTGCTGCTGCTGCTGCTTCTATAGCTTCCACTGCTGCTGCTGTTGCGGTCAATAGTGCACGACATAATTGCTGATTGAATGAGGCTGTCAACTGACGTCAGCCTACGACTGATTAATAGCAATTAGCAGTGGCTTCCATATATATATATATATACGATATATACTATGTATATGTAAGTATATGTATGTATATACCACACACTTACATAGATGCCACATGCTCCACATTTCAGCTTTGCTTAGCATAACTACGGCTTATATTGTTTAAGGACTCGCCCAGCTGGGTATATATATACATATATGTAAGTATGTATGTGTGTGTATATGCTTATAGCTTGTATATATCTCTCCATATATCTTTATATATCTAACTTTGCAGTTGCAAATCGTAAGCACGCAAACAGTGAAGACGACAAGTCACGCCAGCAATTCAGCTAGTGCTCAACAATATAGCACATACCACATTTATATATGTATGCGAGGGCTGTTTAAGCAGTTTGCTAGCTTAGGAAAAAGACAATAGAAAAAGCTTAATTAAGTAAAACTCTAGGACAAAGTTATAGAGCCTCACACAAATGATTCTACAGCTGCTCTGTCAACAGTTTGGATTGCCATGAATTCTCTTTGAGGATTTAATCACTTATATATAAGGCTTATTGTTGCTTGATAAACACGAATATATATTTCAGCTTATATTATATAGCAGCTTATATTATAAAATATCGATATCCATAGCAAAGTTATATGCCAGATCTAAAAGTCGACAGTTATACGAACTTCATTCATTCATTATTTAAGTGAATATATATTTTATTTTTATTAATTCACTAAACCTTTGGTACCACCCTCGTCTATACACACAAACACACATACATATATATTTCTATAGTTCTCAAACATTTTAACTCTTGGCTAGGAATTGGATTCTCCTTCATTTTGGCGCCATAAATCTCGCATGCAGCTCGCAGTTCGCATGTGGCATGTCGCATGTTCTCTGTCGCATGTCGCATATTCGTATTTCGCATGACGCCTGGCAATTCGACAAATGACTTCAAAAACTGGCGCAACACTCGCATAAAACTTTATACCCTCGCGTGTTTGCCATGAGTAAAAAAAAGCATTTTCATTTTAGTTTTATAAACTTTATACAAAATATATTTTCCTGGTGCAACATCAGCAACAAATGATTCCGTTCAACTTGTTGCCCAAACTAACAAAGAACCTAATCCCAATTTCGTTCCAAGCTTTTACTCTGCTTATGACTCACAAATCGTTGCACAACACTGCAAAAACTGCACGTGAATTCAGTGTTGAGCAACTTTTTACTTTTTTTCACTCAATTAAAACTCTTGCTTCGTTTTACAACACTATGGACATGCGCGTAAATCATATTGCCTGTGAGATCTGCTACAGAAATTTGAACGTAAAAACTATATTCGAGAGTTTTTAACTCCTTTCCCGATAGACCTATAAATTATGCCTATGACTCGACTCAAATGCGGAAATATTAATATTTTTGAATACACTTCACTGTGAACGGTAGTGCACTAGAAACTTACAAGTGGCTAGAGTTTACTGTAGGTAAAGTTGACATGGAGCAATGACGTTTTCCTTGATGTTCTCGTCCTCCTTACACACTTTATCTATAGTTTCAGCTCTATTCCATTTCATCGACTCAATTAAATTCTTACCTAAGCGGCACCCTCTGTCATCTTGCTTACGTTCTCCATTGTCAGTTTGTACATTTTGGGAATTTGTAAACATTTTTGATAGGAATTTTGCTGGGTCTAAATTTAAACTGAATTTAATCTGTTCTAGAGAGAGCGGGGCAAGGAATGGAGAGAGCTGAGGTAAGCCAGCTGTGCTTAATTAATTTGTACAACTATCTATAGCTAGGGGGTAAGAGCTATTCAGAGTGGCACAAAACCACTTACATGTATGACTAGCTTAACCGATATCAGTTGAACATATGCTCTGGGTATATAGATAATAGATAACAAATTATATTTTGTTTTACGCAATTGCTTTGGTGCCGCTAATTGGCTTTCGTTGGGTCTCTACCTTAAGCACCTGACTGGGTTATCAAAGCGATAGGAAATTGTCTTCGGTTTTCCTTTATTTTGCAATAAAAGCGCCAAAGCGCATCGGGCCCGAATCATTCTACACACAAAACTTTTCCAATAACGTGAAAGATGGGCTTCAAGACCGTAACGCTAGTTGGCCTATTGCTCTGTGCTGTTGGCCTCGCCTCGGTTAATGCCGGCAACGATTACCTCTGGGGCGAAATAGGACCCAACGACTACCATCTGGCCAAGGATACAGTGTCGAAGGCTTTCTTTGTGGGTCTGGTGCAGAGCAAGAAATATGTTTTCAAGCAGAAAGTACGTAAGATGACGACAGTTGTATTGAGCTCAGTATAAGACTCTCTATGTCCCGTCTAGAACAATCTGGATGCTTTGACCATTACGGCCATTAAGGTGACCGATAAGAAGAAGAGCAATGGCGCTACGGCTGTACTTGTTGCTGGCGGACCTGGCTCGAAGGGCGCCACCATTCAGTTTACTTCGCAACGTGGCTATGGCATCAAGGATGTGGTTGAGATCTGGGGCCGTTAAATATTGAACGAGTTTGCACCCAGCTTGTAAGCCTAAAAGTATGCCTTCAGCTTGGGAATAAACTGCTTTGACTACTACTGAAATTTGCCGTGTGACGAAATGGGAATGTTTTCTAGGGGATGTACAAGTTATTATCTGAGAAATTTATATAGGCACTTATAGTATACTAAAAATATATCTAATTTTGCACATAGAATGATAGGCTATAAGTGCTATATATTGTAGTACAGTGTTGGAAAACGCTTGAACATTGTAGGATGTTAGTAATCCATTTGTCAAACTGAATAGAGTTAAGTAAAGGAATAAGCCAAAAGGTTTTCACATGTTATACAACACCTTCATTAAGTTATAGTGCTCGTAACAACCCTACAGCTTGAATAGTGTTGGAAACGGCTCCTTTAAGCAAAAGGCAGTGCAGTTAAAAAGTATTTTGCAGTCGAAAGTCTTTTAACATAAAACAGTGTTGTAAAAGTCACACTTTTACGTCAATTGCCATACTTTTCTGTGTTGTAAAAGCTCTTTACAGTTTAACCAGTGTTGTAAACGACTTAGCCTAAGTAAATGTCTGCCAAAATGGCAGCTTTATGACGCCCAACGATGATATCCAATATTCAGCTTTATTTTCTGTATTGCCAAAGCTCTGCAACGTTTGACTAGTGCTATAAAAGGCTTTGCTCAACATGCTGAGTCCAACTAAATGGATTCCACACGGTCTTATGACGCAAACTTTGGAAATATTTGGCTGAGCTTCAACTGGTTGCTAGTTTCCTACAGTTGCGGGCATCTAATCCCATTTATCAAAGTCTAGACGCTGCTGGCCATATATTTATGTATGTTTATTCTACACGTTCTATGCGCATATACAAATGATCCCACAGTCAGCACAGTAGGCACTTGAAGCCGCACACACACACACAAGCACAGAGCTCGTCGCTTCAAGGCCAACTTCTTATTAAATGCCAAAATGTGAGCGTTTGTATAGAATAGAGAAACTACAAGATACAGATACAGGCGACAGCAACAGCTAAAGCTCAAGCTCAAGCTACAAGAGATACGCAGCTTGTGCTTGAGGCCTCAGCTTTGAGCCAACAGAAAACTGAGCTCAGAGAGCAGGATTATAATTACAGCAGGCAGCGAGTGAAACAATTTGGCTGAGCGAGAGCTTCGTGGTTTTAAGTGTCTGATTGGAATGCCTATAAAACTGTGTATGTTGATTTGAAAGTCGTGATATAGACAGAGATAGACATCTGGATACAGATATAGATACAGATACAGACATAGAAAGAGGCATGGCAACTACAGATACAGTTGGAGGTACGTTTAGAGATTTATTATCACTCACAGACAAAGATACAGCTAGATTAAAATATATTTACTAAGCTACTAATTGATGCAGTTACAGGTACTGAGATAATTACAGATACTAAGACAGATACTGAGACTGATACTGTTAAAGATACAGATTGATGCACGTGGAGCTATACAAACGTTCTGGGTTCTACATGGACATTTTTATTCTTTATTTATGTTTAAGTATTCATTGTTAGATTAAGATACATTCGTAGGTATTCACACAGATCCAAATACTCACGCTGATTCATTTACAGATACATTTTAGCTAATAGATATTCATCGATAATAGTCTTAGATAGATTTTAAATCATTAGAAATACACAAATTCATAGGAGATAGATACAAACCTGCTACATACATAAATCTTAGCACTTGTTTAGATGCAGAAGCTGAGAGAACCGCCGATACAAATACTTACCCTTACACTATGAGTTACAGATACAAAGTTATAGATACAAATACATATACCATACTAAATGGGATAAAGATACTTTTACATACGCAGGCATAGTGGCAGATGAAACTATTTCAAACTGTATAAGATAATGTATCTTTTCTCATAGCTATGCAAACGTACTTGCAGATGCTATCTGAGATACATGTGCCTAGACAGATACATTCTCAGATACAGTTTGAAATAAACTTTCATATGCCGCAACAAGTCCATATACACAGCTTAGTTTTAGATACTTTCATGTGGCATATGTAGATACATTCTCTAAGGCAAATTTACCTGGCACAGATACATTTTTTGCAGCTACAGCTACAAAATGGCGTCATCTGTTAGCCAATATGTTGTATATTTACTTGCAGAACGTACTTTGGAGTCGAACGCGTTTTGCTAATGAGTAACTGAATGTCTATAGCTGTGCTATATATGCGTGTGTGTATGTGTGTGTAGCTATGCATATAGACAGATCTGTCTCTCTGTCTGTTTGTATTCAGAGTCGTTGCCGTTGTCTAACTAAAGTTGCTGCCGCCAAGGTCAGCTGCCTGGGTCTGAGAAACTGTTTGGCTGTTGTCGCTGTTAGTCAGGGCCCCCTGTGTGTGTGTGGGTTTTTTATGCACATATATACATTTATATATGTATATATAATGTTATTTGAAGGCCTTAGATACATGCCCGTTAATCTCTGAACAATTCAGTAAACTTCGAGTTTCAATGCAAAATATATATAAGCAATGTACGTGCTTTGAGGGCAACTTGTTTGCTGTTCTCTCAACTGCAAAACTTGTATAATAATTCAAATCAAATGCAAGTCTATATCTAACATATCGTATGGCTCATATACACACACATACACATATCTCTCTATATATATATATACTGAGAGGCAATTAAATTTATCTGACTGCATTTCTAGCAATTCCCATGAATTAATTGTTTGTTTGTAATATTTTTTCAATTATTTTTTTTTTACCATGAATTAATTGTTTAAAATGCATAAAACTTGATCTTTCCCGCTGATTACATTTTTTTTGGTTAACCAGCACTGGCAACACTTACATTCAATTTAGTAAACGTTTGTGCCTTTTTCAACACTAATTCTATTTCTATACCATTTAACATCTGCCAGGGAAATCTATATCTCTATGCGCATATTGCAACACTACTTTTGAATGTTATTTTACAACTTGGACCAAATTGATGCTGCATTGTAAATTCTTCAACACTGCCTTACAGACTTCATATTTCCCGATTCCACTTTTCCACTCAATGCACTTTGCTTGCTAATTTTTCATATTTTCTGCTTGACTTTTATCAATAGTAATATCTATGCTAAATTGTATTATTATTGATTATTGATATTATTATTGATTGATATATATATATATATATATATATATATTGATGTCTATATATATAGATTTATCAGAACACCTTGTTTCCTTAAATTGACTGTCAAAGCAGAACATCAGTTGGATCTGCGCACCACATGGCACTAGTTTACAGTTACCTAACCATATTTCCAAGTATTATAAAAGCCTACACGTGTAAGCTAGCATACGTTAAGCTCATCTCCCTTAACTCCTGGCATATTCTATGCTAATACCAAAGCCCACAACACAATCGACATTCTCTCGCTCTTTCTCTTTCCCACACATTGCACAAATCGGTTCTATGTGAATGCTTTATTTAATGATCAGCCCGTGTCTACATTTGTCCCCTTTTGCTTAACTCACAGGTAAAAGCACAAATCAAAATCTAAACAAAGCACTTTTATATAATATATAAATAATTTGCAAACAGGAAAATTGCATCACCAACAACAATAAAAATCTATTCAATTGCGTTTTCTTAGTCATTTTAACAATTGCTGGGAATAAATGATACATATATATAATTTAATTTCCCTATAATAGCTGTTCGCCTTTTGGCCACATGATCAATGAGAAAAAAACACACCCCACGAAACACAAATTTCCCTGTTCACACATCTCACCTGTCCACGAGCCCTTGACTGAGAGTGTGTGTGTGTGAATGTTGTAAAACTTGTTTATTTTTAATTGAAAGATCGGAAAGATTGCTTCAATTTCTAATTCGAATTGGTTTTAGCAGCATTTTGCTAATTGGACACTGTGCCAGGTGTTAAGATCAACTTCCCCAAATGAAATAAAAAAGCTTTCTCCAATTGATTTCTTAATCAACTTTCGTCAGAGATAAAATACTCATACATAGCTATACAGTCGCTTACCTCCTCTCCCACACTCTACATTTCTCTCTTTTTACGGCCTAATGTGTCGCTCTCTTTGGAACTAGAAAAAATTATTTCCTATTTCTACCCATTGTACAGTTTTTATGCGTCACACACACACACACGCGCATACGTGAGCGTTGGTGTGCTATTTCATTGGCAGACTTAGCAACAAGAAAAATCAACAGCAACAGAAACAGACTGCGACCGTTTGTTCTGTTCAGTCGTCGCGTCGTAACGGTTTCAACGCTGCCTCTCTCGCCTTCTTGTTCGTGGAAAAAGCGTACACACATATTTGATTAAAGCGTATGCGTGTGACAGAGCTAGAAATATGCATGCGTTTGTATGAGTGCCTGTGTGTGCGCGCTTTTTGGTGGAATGATAAAATGTGTGTGTAATAAAAGAAAATATTTTAATAGGATTTATTTTTTTATTATTTTAATTTGGACTGAGCAACATCAAAGTTTACAAACATATTCCAGCTTAAGTTAAGGTAGTTGTTATTTTATTGTTTAATTACTAGTAGCACATATTTTTAACTTTTTGACACAATTCCAAGTTTTGAGATTTTACATGTTGATACGCCCGCAATTTGTATAGGAGAGAGAAAAAGACTGACTATATAAAAAGCACAGTGAGTCCCCGTCTCGCTCCCACATAGGTTGCAGTACGTTGTTGATATAACCAAAAAATAAAAATAATAAACCGCTAGCAGTTCGCCAACTAGAAGATAGCTGACAGACACGCTTGGCAATTGTGTGGAAAACTTGTAAAGCAAATATACACGAAACGAGAGTGAGGCGAGTGGAATACAAAAAAATTCCATTAGATTTTTGTAACGTTCGCTCAATGTGTGTAGCTAGCTAGGCGCTGTAGCCGATACCAAAAACGCGGCCAACTTTGTTCGCTGTGCAGCTGCAAATGGCGCGAGGAAACACAAAGCAACTACCGAAAGCAGCAGCGCGCACGAGCGAAACTCGACGAAAAGCCAACTTAACGAACCGAAAGCGCTTCGTTAGAATTCGCGTATATAT